CTAAAAGAAACTTCAAGCGGAGAACCTTCAACCATTCATCCAGATGCACCCCATGGTAGTGGCAGTGCCCCTTCTGGTAAGTGTACCAGGTGGGGGATTACAGCCAGGCTGCTTGGTCCTCACCCTGGGAGTGTATATTGCTAATATATTTTTTTTTCTCTCCCTAGAACGTGTAAGAAAGCCATGGTCTGCATCTGAGGTGAAGGCTGTGGAGAAGACCATGACACCTTTCATACAGACTGGAAAGGTCCCTGGGAAGTCTCACTGCCTGGCCTGCATTAATGCCTCACCAGATGACCTTAGACATCGGACATGGAGTGGCATTAAATTCTATGTCAAAAATAGAATCACTGCAATTCGAAAACAAAATCTAAAATAAAATTCCTTTAAAATAGTTGTTTGGTTTCTATTGACTGTTTTGTATTACTTAAAGTCTTGGTAAAAAAAGATTATGTCTATGGGTCCCATTCTGAACGGCCCTGTCAAAGGGACCCACCAGGTAACAAAAACGTGTATGTGTGTGTGTGTGTGTGTGTCCTAATGCGACTGGCAGCCCTCAGAGGTTGTTGGCCTGGAGTGGTCATTCGTCATCGCTCGCTGCTGACTCAACATCTCCGTATGAAGCCATTAAAGCAGCCGTGTCACTTCAAACCAGAGGCGGCTCCAGAGAGGACTCATGGGGGGTCCAAGCTGCTGCTGTCAGACTGCACAACAAACACTGCCATTGCAAAAAAAATCATGTATCATCTGTCTAACTTAATTGCCTATTCAAAAATGTGTTAAGATAAAAGTTGGAACCACAGCCTGTTACAGATGGACAATGCTAACCCGCTAGCTCAATGAAGTGTCGTAGGGAAGCTCCCATCTGCAGATCTCCACGTCCACTAATATCTGTGTGGAGTTTGCATGTTCTCCGCGTGTCTGCATAGGTTCCCTCCAGGTGCTCCGGTTTCCCCTACCACTAAAATCATGCACAATCGTCTCCCTCTCTCTGTGGCTAGAACGCCGCTGAAACAGAGACCATGAAATCTCAGTGGGACTTGACTGGTTTAGTAAAAATCACAGCAGCCAGACGTCTCACTGGTTTGAACAGAAGGGAGCACATCACCCCTGTGTCAGCATCCCTCCACTGGCTCCGTGGGCGTTTTAGAGTTAATTTGGCTGATCACTTTAAGAGCTCGTATAAGTCTGGCACCAAGATACATCCCTGAGCTGTAACTCCCTCCTCCACAGCCTTAGAACTTTTTATGAAGCAAGCTTTCTTCCTTGTTCTTGTTGTGAGCTCTGTCTGTTTTACCTCCTGTATTTATGTCTGATATTTTTAGTTATTACTTCAGATTTTTTTTCTATTATTATTTTGTTGTTGCATTTTAAAGGAATAGTTCACCGTTTTTACATACTGACATATGTTCTTACCTTACCTTAGACTAGTTAATACGTACCTGTCTGGTCTTAGTCCGTGCGCTCTGTCATGCAAACGGAGCAAAAACGGGAGCACAAACGCAGCCTCCTCTGTATACTGTATAGTACCCAAAAGGTAGCTCCCGCTAGAAGCTACCAAACTCTTCCAAGTGTTCCCTATTAAATGTATATAGTTACGTGACGTGTTACACTGCAAAGTATAGTAACACAGAAATGTAACAGTCGATTTTCTCAGCGGATAAAACGGGTACTATATTGTGAGGCGTAGTAATCTGAGGAGCGCTACGTCCGCGCACTAACTTCTCTCCGTACTACAAGTCACGCTGCTTCTATTGACGGAAGTGAGCGAGAGAGAAGTCTCCGGAGAGAAGTTAGTGCGCGGACGTAGCGCTCCTCAGATTACTACGCCTCACAATATAGTACCCGTTTTATCCGCTGAGAAAATCGACTGTTACATTTCTGTGTTACTATACTTTGCAGTGTAACACGTCACGTAACTATATACATTTAATAGGGAACACTTGGAAGAGTTTGGTAGCTTCTAGCGGGAGCTACCTTTTGGGTACTATACAGTATACAGAGGAGGCTGCGTTTGTGCTCCCGTTTTTGCTCCGTTTGCATGACAGAGCGCACGGACTAAGACCAGACAGGTACGTATTAACTAGTCTAAGGTAAGGTAAGAACATATGTCAGTATGTAAAAACGGTGAACTATTCCTTTAAGGATACATTTTACCCCCAATCTCTCCCACACGATCCCCCAGAGGAGAGAGATAGCACATGATACATTTATAACAACAACAAAGAAAAAGAGAGAAAAAAAGGAATACATGTAATAATCAAAATAATAAATAATAGTAATAATAGTTCTGTTTTGTGCTGTTTTGAAAAATGCGATACAGATAAACGTGTTAATAGATTTATTATAGATCCAGTGACATGGACTTTATTAAATCCTACGGTGTGGATTGGAAGTGGGTGACCTCAGCTTTAATGTCTCTCTCAGTAATGAATGATCTGATGTCTCCTCCTCCTCTTCATCACCTCATACATCTGACCCATCTGTCTCCTCCTCCT